TGAGGGATGGTTTGAGACAGGCTCATACTATGTAGTTGAGACTGAACTGGAACTCACTATGTAGCCCAGGCTGGTCTCAAACTCACAGCGATCCTCCTGCCTCAGCCTCCCAAGTGCTGGGATTACAGGCCTGCACCACCATGTCCGGCTTAAAATTGACACTACTAACCCAAGCTTTCAAAGACTGGAAAGTAGGTGCTAGACATTCCCTGCAATAAATTTTGAGACATATTTTCAGCCACAAGAATGAGGAAGATCACAGAGGGATCTCCAAATATTACTCTCGTGCTGAGCATCTGAGATGAAAGAAGAAATCTCTGAATATTCCAGAGTTCCATCTCTGCCATGTGTTAGGAACTACTGTGTGTCCTGAGAAATAAGACCTGAAAGGTAGGCCTTATTTTTCAGGGGGAATAGAGTCCTTTACTCCTGTAATGATCTCCACTTTTGACCTCAATGTGAAGTTGGTCCTGAAGTTTACCCTAAACAGTAAACTTTATACTCAGCAATGTCATACAAGAGAGTAAGTTTTTTCTGCTTCTCTTCCAGCAGTTGTGCTAGAGAAATAATTACTCAGGGTGTGTAACTGTATGACTAAAAGGTTCTGTTATTGTTTTCTTTGTGTGTGTGTGTGTGGTACTGGGGTTGTGTGTGGTAAGAGCCTTTGCCCTGAGTTACATTCCCAGCCCATTCGTCCCACTTTTTAATGTTGTTTTGTTTTGATTTTGTTTGTTTGGTACTGGGGATTGAACTTGGGATCTTGCACTTGTGAGGCAGGTGGCAGCACCACTGAGAGAAACTCCCAGCCCTGTTTTGTTTTGTTCTTTTTTGAGGTAGGGTCTTGCTAAGTCGCCAAGTTGCCTAGTTGGGCCTAAACTGGCGGTCCTCCTGCTTCAGTGTCCCAGGGTGTTGGGATTACAGGCATGCACCACCACACCTGGCTAGATTCTGCTCTTACCCACTAGTCCTACCTTTTCTAGACTTGCCCAAGACATCACCAAAAGTGAGGGCCAGATCAAGTCCTGATGGCACTAGGTTCTCTGGGTTGTTGTAGATGAGGTGCTAAAATAAAATACCATTCTGTGTATGTGAGTGACACCTGCTACACAGAAGCACAGTGTCTAAGTTCATGATGAAAGCTCTCACGATGATGGTGCACAGTAACTCCAGGCCCCTACAGGGACACAGCCATTCCTAGGTACACTCCTCTGGATCCTGGCCTTTGTCATCACCTTATATCCTGCGAATTTGCCCCAGGTGTCTTTGGAACGGTTGCCATCTTGGCTTCTTGAGAATCCACAGAGGGTCCTCAAAGAATCTCCAAACTCACTTCCCAAAGTCCAGCTGCAGCCTCAGTTGTGCTCATAAAGCATAGCAGAAGCCCATCGTCAGTGGATCTGATAACACTGGGCAATGACACCACAGCATTGCACTACGACCAAGCCTGCAGCCGAGTCCATGCCAGCAGCTGGCTCCCTGTGCTTTGCCAAGTCCATGGTCTCAGTGGTTAATTATTTGTGTGTGGGTCTGAATGTGACTTTGTATTTTCCTCACAGATTCCCTAAGTTAATTTCCCCCCAGCTTTATTGAGGTATAATTGACAAAAAAAATTGTGTATATTGCAGGAATGCAATGCTTTGGTACATGTATTGTAGAGTGATTACCACTATCAAGCTAATTAACATATTCATCATCTCACAAAGCCATGTGTGTTTGTGTGTGTGTGTGTGTGTCTGTGTGTGTCTGTGTGTCTGTGTGTGTGGCTGGAATACTTCAGATCTCTTCCAGCAAATTTCAAGTATATGTACAATGTTACCAGTTATGGTTATCATGCTGCACATTAGCTCTCCAGGATGTGTTCTTGTAAATTTGAGTTCCTACCCTTTGGCCAATATCTCATTTTCCTCAGCCTTGGATTCCTGATCACCATCCTTGTCCCCATCTCTGAGTTTAAAGTTTTAGATTCCACCTTTAAGTGAGGTGGTGCAGTATTTGTCCCTCTGCCTCTGGCTCATTTCTCAGCATCTACTCAGCAGTGTCTCCTTCCAAATGAATACTGCCTTGATGTTGTAGCCAGGTAGCAGCAAATCCACAAGCCTGCTAGGGGCACCTGGCCTTCACCTTCATCTTCAGTTATCCACCACGGAGGGGGACACCCGCACACTGGGTACTTACAGAAGCAGAGGAAGATTGTTTCAACACAAGTTGCATAGACACTGAAGCAGCCATGGGCAACTAGGTAAGATCCAAAAATGACAGTCTGTAAATTGGTAAAGAAGAGACCAACAAGTCATTGGCTCTGTTTCAAAGAACAATAAAGCTGCTGTAAACAAAGGCCATGAAGAAAAAGCCTTGAAGTAATCTGTGTTGGAAACGCTCTCAATGTACAGACCACACAATTTTGTGTGTTTTGTCCTGAGATTTAAAGGAAATGTACTAGATTACCTGTCCATTTCCGTACTGCTGTCCCCAAAGGCTAACCAAAACAGCTCAGCTTTAGGATCCCATATACTCAGGCAGTAAAGTCTAAGGGGTTAAAACCACATACTGCCTGGATTTCAATCACTGGTTGGGCCTTCCACAAATTACTTAACTCTTTGTGCCTCTTTTATTAAAGTGGCAGTAGAGATGAGGAGAACGTAACGGGCAGCGTTTACATCGTATGGACAAAGTGAGTTAATGCAGTGTAATAGATACAGCAGTAGCTCACACAGATCTCTCCCAGCTGCCCCGCCCCTCCCGGTGTGGGGAGCGTAGGTGGCAGCTGACTCTGCTGCTTCCAGGACTAGGGATTGCCTTCCCTGCAGGGAACTGCCTCACCCACAGTCACACGTGGGTCTGATGTGGTTTGCAAAGGCCCAGCCCCTCTGCCAGCACTTCCCGGAATGCCATCTATGGCCCGGGCTGCAAGAGCAGCATGGCCTGACCTCCTCCCTTCCTTACAAATACTTCTGAGGACAGAGCCTCCTGATAGATCTTCTGCATGCAGCCCTCCACCTCAGTAGGTTTTCTCCGGGAGCCCAGTCTCGAGAGCAGGATGGAGACTGGCACACAGACCAATACTATTAGTTGTCATTGTTAATTTTCCTCTTATTACAAAATTTGACATCTGATAGATCACTGCCAATAGCATTGAGTTGCTATGGACTGAACTGTGATCCCCCAAAAAACTTCAAATTTTTACACCGAAGCCCTGATTCCCAATGGGATGGAATTTGAAGGTGAATCCTGTGAGAGGTATTTGGGCAAGAAGATGGTACCCTTATCAAAAGATCAGTGCCCTTACAAGAAATGACATGAAAGGCATGGTCTCTCGGTCACTCTGACACCAGGAAGAAGGCCTGCATCGGGAACTGAATGAGACAGCACCTTAATCTGGGACTTCCCAGCCATCAGAATGGGCAGGAATAAATTTCTATTGTTCAAGCCACCCAGGCTATGGTACTTTTGTTATAGCAGCCCCAAATGAATGATATACCCATTCTTACCAGCAAAGGTACCCAGTAGTAATTTAAAGATATTGGTCCTCCAAAAATCACTGGCATTTTTTCTGTAAAGAGTAAGAAGGCCAGGATACCTACATTGAAAAGGGAGAACATGTATGAGTGTATATTATGCATCAGTAAAGGTATATAGCTTTTTGCAGTAAAAGTTTTTCTAAGAATCTTTTCAAATTTTTATTATTATTATTATCCTTATTATTATTATTATTATTACTTACCTATAAATCCAGAAACTAGAATTTTCCCCAGGAGTAATACAAAATTTGTAACTTCATCTGTAACTGCCACTCTGAGTATTAGAAAAAAGAAAGTGCAATATTGTGTTTAGAAGGCATTTTTGACTTGATATTTATGGGAGTAAATAACTCATGAGTCCACCTGGATATGTCTCTGCTGAAATTTCACTTGGCAATAATTAAATGCAAGTAGAACACAGGGATAAAGCTCCAACTTATTTTTAGTGAAGAAAACAGAAGGTGGTACCCTAGGGCTGCTGGGTACTGGGCAGGGGCGGCGTCAGCCTCACCCTATTGGAGATGGAGACACCGCGAATCCTGGGGATGCAGTGTGTGGACTCTGACTTTTCCCCCCTCCATCTCTATCGTTTTGGGGAGTGGGAAATGGCCTGTGTCAATCAACTTAATAAAAAAGAATAAATGCCAGTGGGTATAAAAGTATAGGTCTAAGGTGGAAATAACAGTTCTCACATCTGAAAACAAACTGGTGATGTGAGAAAGAAGATTTAAATCTCTAAACATTATTTTTTGTCCAGTACTAGGAATCGAACTCAGGACCTTGTGCTTGCCAGGCACACACGGCACCACTGAGCTACATCCCTGGCCCTAAAATCCCTCGATTTGAAAGACACTATTTGTGCCTAATAAGGCTACCAAGACTCCAGATAGTGGTATGGAAAGGAAAGGATGCTGAAGGCTCATCCAATTATCTCTTGGAGTTTTCTATCTGATTACTTACTTTAAAATGTTTCTCATCAGAAGGTTGAAAGCATCTCTGGCTGACCTGCAGAAGTTTTTGCCATATATCGCAATCTGAGGAAGACGATTGGCATTATTTCAGTTTCAGCATACTCCGACAAGACCAAAGGATTATCCAACACGACAGTAATTCCTGTCACTCGTACTGACCATGCCCTCATCCTCTTTCACCATTTGGGTTCGTGGGAGGCCTGAGAAGTGTGTGTCTCGACTCTGCACATCTCTGGGAGCTATGGTTTGTGTTTAGCTGTCTCCCCCAAGGCATCACGCGGATGAGGTGGGACTTTCTTCTTCAGAGGCGCTGAATCTGGGATGTGTGATGCTGGGGTTAAGGGCGGGTGATGACTAAAGCACTACATGTGAGCAATTAGTTTGGCACCGCCCTCATCCCTGTAGTCTGAATAGGATAAAGGGGGCAGAAAGACGCCAGTAACTCTCTTGTTGCCTTTGCTCCCTTGCGTGTGCCATGTTGTTCCTGCTCTGCTGTGCCTGTTTGTCGTTGCCTGCCTTGGAGTTGGCCAAGTATGGACTGAAACTTCCGCAAACTGTAAGCTAAATAAGCCCCTTCCCTTCCAATTTTGGGTGTGGGGTATTTTGTCTCAGCAGTCAGAGAAAAGTAACTAAAACCCTGGCACACTAGTAACAGTGCTCTTCACACGCTTTGCACCCCTGGACTCTGAGGGATCTGGTGGCCTTCAACAGAAGCTGGGCCGATATCTTACGAGTAAGCCTCGGTAAGGGCTCTGTTTGTGAAATGTTGTGCCTAGAGTCTATCATTAAATACTGTAATCTCAACATCAAAATTTACTCTGAACGTAATCCAATGCTTCTCACTATACTTGGTTTACTGCTCAAAGGGCCCAACACAGTACTATACTAGAGGCAAATTAATGCCTATTCAAATCACCACGAGGATCCTAAGCACCTCTGTGTCACTGTGACAATAAGCAAATGTCCTAAGGGTACCATGTTATGATTTATATCTAGATGTCCCCCAAGAGTTTCATGAACTCATAGGTGGGCTGTTGGGAAGTGTCTGGGTTTAGAGCTGACTTGCTGTTAGGAGGTGGGGTCTGGCTGGAAGAGGCAGTCACTGGAGAGGCAGGCCTGGACTGTTTCTTCTCCTCCCTTGAGCTCTCTGCTTCCTATCCCCATGCTGTGCGCACCTCTCCTCCACCTGCCCTTCTGCCACACCGCCCTGCCTTGGAGCCAGCTGAAAATGGACTGAAACCTCTGGAAACTGAGCCAAAATAAACTTCTCCTCTCTTAATCTGCAGCTGTTGTGCACTTTGTCCCAGCAACAAAGAAAGTGACTAAGATATGTAGCTTCTAAATGATGTACGAATTATATTTCTGGATCAGCGATTTAAAAGTTTCTGTAGAAATTTACATATTTGCATAGCAAATAAGTAATAAATTCTATCAGTGCCCACACATTCCAAAACATGATTCACAAAAAGGGTCACACTGGCCCTTACAATTGCGTAAATCCCAAAATTAGAAATGTATTTTCTTCTTCCAGTGAAACAGACTAAATAATCTTTCCTCTCAATAAACTGTCAAATACACATACATAAGCCCTTTGCCATGTAGCATGCTTTTAAATTTCCAAAGTAAATAACATTTACCCTCATGAAAAGATACTGAAAGCACCAATAGAGTATGTTTAAGATACTATCTATCATTCATTAAATCCTGCATTGGATTCACAAATCCTTTATCAGTATGGTGATACATTTGACTGCACTGATATAAAAAATGCTGCAGCAGGAGCAATGCAGGCATGGGATTAGGTTAGCAAAACAGTAGCTTTGTTAATTTTTTAAAAATCTACTTACCATAATGTAGGCATTTTTGTTTAAAAACTTTACCATTTTTTCCAAACACCAGAAACAGCATCCCAGGCAGCATTTTAGGAATTTAGAGATATTGTTCTGGGCATCTACAAGAAGGAAATATTTAAATATACAGAAAATAAGTATATATGATAGAGAGCTTACCATAGTAACAGCGCATTCTTAAGTGTACAATTCAGTGGCCCTGAGCACATTTGCAATGTAACCATCTCCACTATCCATTTTCAGAACTTTATATCATCTCGAATAGAAATTCTATAACCATTCCACAGTGATTCCGTGACCCTGTAGCCTCTCGTAACCTCTATTATCCTTTCTGTCTATATGAATTTGCCTCTTCCAGATGCCTCATAAGTGAGTAGTATAAAATGTATCCTTTCCTACCTTGCTTATGTCACCAGGGTTCGTGTTTTCAAGGTTCATCATTTCCTTCCTTTTTAAAGCTAACATTCCACTGTATGTCTGTAATGCGTTTTCTTTTTCCATTCAACTTTTAATGGAAAATTGGGTTGTTTCCATCATTTGGCTAGTGTTGATAATGTCGCACTGAATGTGTTGTGCAAATATCTGTTTGCTTCCTCGCTTTCAAGATTTTCAGTTTATCTTTAGAAGTGGAGTTTCGGGATTGATTGGAAATTTTAATTTTCACTTTTTAAAGGAATAACCAGACTGTTTTCCACAGCGGCTATATCATTTTACATTTTCAACAACAATATATAAGGGTTTCCATTTTGTTCCATTGTGGTCTTCACTTCTTAGAGGACATCCTTATTGGGCACTTCTATGTGATATATCATCTTTGATGAACTGTGTACTGAAGTCTTACCCACTTCTTTCTTTCTTTCTTTTTTTTTTTGCTGTTGAGATGTAGAAATTCTTTAATCCTTTATCTGGTATATTATTTGCAAGTATTTTCTTGTGTCTCTCCCTCCCTCTTCTCTTTCCTCTGCATTCTCTCCCCCTTTCTATCCATGTACTTTGATTTGAAGCCCAAATGTTTTTAATTTTGATCACGTCCAGTTTATTTTTCCTTTTATTTTCTCTGCTTCTGACGTGATAGCCAAGAAATCTACACCAAATCAATGTCATGAAGATTTTTTTCCTATGCTGTTTTATAAGAGTTTTATAGTATCACCAGGTATGTTTTGATCTTTGACCCCTTTTTGGGTTAGTTTTTATTTAATTTAGTGTAAGGATCCAGTTTCATACTTTTATATGGGGATGTCCAGTTTGTTCCAGCACCACACAATGAGAAAACTGAGCTTTTTATATCAAATAGCTTTAAATGTAAGGGTTTATTCGGGGGTTCTATTCTAGGTCTGTCTCTCGCCAATTCCACACTGTTTTGATTGTTGTAGCTTTGTATTAAATTTGGAAATTAGGAAGTGTGGATCCTCCAACACTGATGTTCCTTTTCGAGAATGTTTTGGCTATCTGTTAAGGCACATGATAAGCAGAGTTCATGTGTCTGTAGACTATAACTTTTATGAAGAAGACGTATGCCAGTGCCTCCCATGTTTATATTTTACTAACACGACCTGCACGCTAGAATTGGAGCTACACTGCCTCCACCATGTTTCTCAACTGTAACACATTAAAACAGCAATCTTAATCTCCCTTCTGAAATGTGCTTCTCCTGGCTCCCACATCTAAATAAATAAAGTTACACAAGTATTTTCTTTTCCTGCCCCATTGCTCCTCCCTTCCCCTGATGTCCAGTCATTCAGCAAGTCCTGCTGGACTGCTTTTTTGTGTGTGGTACCAGGGATTGAACTCCGGACCCTGTGCTTGCAAGGTAGGCAGTGGAACCACTGAGCTAAATCCCTGGCCCTGGATTGCTCTTTAACATATCCTGGACCTGACCGTTTCCTTCCTTACTATCCTAGCCCAAGAGACAGTCCTCAGCTCTCCCCACCCTACCCGTTCTATTCTCTTCACAGAAGTCTGTAAATCTGAGATGCATTCTGAAGCCTTACTTTTAAGACGTCTGTCCAAGTATTCTAGGATGACTTTAAACATTTGAATTAATGCAAGAATTAATGATCCGAATGCCAGAGATCCTGTGTGATATCTAGGCAAAGATAAAATGAGAAAAAAGCTAAAATATCTTTACTATGAACTAACAGGCTGCTAGTTGAACAATTTTCAGGGAAAGGGGATCTTCAGAAGATCTGATTCAATCGATAAAAGTCCCTATAAATGGTTTTAAATTATACACATCTGTCTTATCCTTCACTTATCAGTAGCGTTTTCATAAATTAGGATATCTGACCTGATCAATGGAGATACAGAGACAAGTTAATCCTTAGTCTGTCATCTGATGTTCTCTCCTACCTGACCGTCCTATCTCTAGGAACTGATGGGTTTAGAAAGACTGTAAAATTGTGGCTATGAAGCCAGAGAAGCCGATGGGTACCCATGAATCCTGAATCATACTTTAGACCTCATCTGTACCTTGCCAGCTGAAAAGACCAGCCCAACTGAATGACAAGCCAACTAAACATAGACGAGGAAATTCCGCAGAGTTTAACGTGGAGCTTACCGTACGGCTTGTCCAAACGCAGTGAAAAGCGGAAGTGCTGGGATGTCGTCGGGTTTTTTCATGGCCCAGTAGTAACTAGCGAAGGCACCAGCAAGGGTACATTGACCCAATGCAACAACAAAGTTTATGAGCCAGAGAAAGACAAACAGATTGTACAAATGCAAGGTGCTTATGTATTGATGGTACAGACTTTTTCCACCATAGAAAGCGAAGTTACAGAGAGCCCCAGGGCATGCTTTGGGAACATCAGTCATATTAAAAATCTGTAGTCAGAAAAGAGCAACATGAGAGTATTATATGCGTTTTCCTCTTTTGTAGCTCCAGCTTCATGCCTTGCTTTTTTCTCTCTTAGCTATTGCTGTTACTCCTCTATCTGCTATCGTAGCACATTAAATCATTCTTTACTACACTCTGCAAAGTATCTCATTTTCCACCATATGCTCATCACTCAGCAAACACTACAGTTTCAGATTTATTATTGCTTCATTAACCATACTAGCGTCTCAAATATATGACAGGACAAGAGATCCCAGCAAATGATAATGATTTTCCTCTCTTCTGCCCACCAATTTCAATGCTTTCCTGCTAATGCCTGACCCCCTCTTCCCTTCTGAGCTTCAGTAAATAAAAAAGTCTCTTTGACTTACCCTTGGGTCACAGGTTTCATTTTCATGTATACATTGCCCCTCTGGGGCTGAAACTTTGTAAACAGGTACCCCTGATGTAGCCAAGAAACTGAATGACCTCTATTAAGGATAATTTTCTGGTAGATTGAAAATAAATAGACAAGGCAATAATGTAGCTAACTCTAAAGTCCATGGAGAAATTAACCTCAAAAATCTAATACTGTATTTTAATGATTCAGCCGTCTCTTGTATTTGAATGACTCAGCCATCTATCAGGCCTAGATTAAGATAACCTCAATCAAAATTTTAAAGAGGGTTCTTAGTTTATATGGACACAAAATAAAACAAATCTACCACATGACCCTTTAGCGGAGAATGAAATCAGTAGACTGCGACTCTTTTATGACTTGGAGAAAAATTCAGTTATTTCTTCAGGATATTTCTCATCTTCCCAAGGATAGAAAACACCAGACACCAACTCCAGGTTTCTAAACCGTAATGTGGAAATGAAGTTTAAAGAGGTCAATTTCCAAAGGATACAGTGCTGTCACAATCCAGTAGGAAAAACAGACGGAGAGCAAAATGAAGGTTAAAACCGGATAAACTAATGTACTAGGGATGTATCCAATGGCTCTGAAATAAAATAAAACGTGTTCACTGGTTTAGATGACACAGTTTAAATCCTTTTCTTAAAGATATTAGAAAGTCTTTCTTTCTTTCTTTTCTTTTTTGGTTTTTTTGAGACAGGGTCTCACTATGTAGTTGAGACTGACCCGGAACTATGTAGCCCAGGTTGGTCTCAAACTCACAATGATCCTCCTGCCTCAGCCTCCCAAGTGCTGGGATTACAGGCATGTGTCACCATGCCAGGCCTTAGAAAGTCTTTCTTATCTGCCTATTTGTAACTTATGCCCACTAATTTGTGGGTAAGAAGGAATTATTTTACCACCATCTCCTCATAGGAACTCTTTAAGTGACCCCTTATCGACTTTTTCTCCCAGATAACCATTTCTTTAACATTTCCTCATAAGATCGGTAATGTTTGCCAGCTTAGGTGTTCTGTTTTTAACTACTCCTTTTAAATAACTATTTCAGCAAATGACAGTGGATTAAACACAATAACAGATGCTGTAACTACTGGAAATCGCTGTGGAAATCTTATTGTTCCAGATGCACTGACATGTCTTAGATTTCCTTTACATTTGTTACTTTCTTCATCTCATTATTTATCCATTTTTCTGACTTTAGGCACATTATTAAGTATTTTAAAGTTTACTTAGTATTCTTGTATCCATTTCTGCCAGGCATGATTTTCACCTGAACAAACTATCAGGCTCTCATATTTGTACTGGCTGTTTATCTCCTGCACACACTCTCTCTCTCTGTCTCTCTCTCTCACACACACACACACACACACACACACGTACTCCTATTCACACGCACATTTAGGGTCAGGACAAGTGGGGCAAGTTACAGTGAACCACACAATAATATACTCTTTAAGAAATAACCCCAGAAAATCAGTAGTTTTCAGTGCATAATGATAGGGCGACAGTCATTGCGGGAAAAGGAGAGAGTTTAACAAACTGCTTGTTAACTGTTTAAACCACAGGTTTCGTGTGGCACTATTATTTCAATAATAATATGGCAATTTTGCTAAAATAGTCCTTAAAGTAATTCGGTTCTTGGTCCTGAACAAGTAGCTTCCATCATTCTAAGTAGAAAGTATGGCTTTGCCTTTATAGGCATGTGTTCCTCTTATCTTCCATGAATGACTCAAAACTTTAGAGTACATATTAATTTCAAGTGACCTTTTGGAATAATTTGGAAACTACAGGTATTACTGCCTCTCAATATGAATTTTATGAAAGACTTAATGTTTATTTCATTACATTTTTAAATGAAAAATGGCTATGAGTGTTAAGTGTTCCTGAATTGTGAGCTTTACATACAAAATGTATAGTCTGGTTCTCCTAGCATGAATTGTGCTATTAGAAAAATTTCCCCTTGTACAGAAATGATAATAGAATACAGTTGGCTTTATAGAGCCATGGTAATTTAAAAGTTTTACAAAATGGTTCAATCATTGATATTAACATATGACCTACTCTGGAAATAATATAGCCTATAATATAGCTAACTTTTATATAGAATTTTGTTTACTTTCATATATACACTTGTGGTTAAAAATGCTAATGCATAGGCTAGATGTATGTTTCTCCTATTTTACCATGTGATAACTGAGGTCTGAGAATATTAAAGGACTTGGTAGTGGTGGGGTTTCTGAAACGTGGCACAGTCTGAACTTGACTTCTTGAGTGGAAAATAGTTTCCTTTAGCAGGTCTTCTTCTGGGGAAAATGGTGTAGGGCATCTATGCAGCGCAGCAGCTGATTAACTGAGGGGCACATATTGTCTGAGTTTCTACACCGATGGCCTTACTTGCTCCCTTCCTTCAGCAGGACAATGGCCAAATGAATTCGTTTCCTGAGGAAGATCAGCAGGAGGATGATAGTCAGTTCAAGGACACAGAGGATTATCACTTTGAAGAGAGAGAAAAAAAATTAGTCTGTGATACAAATCCATAGAAAAACACCAGGTTTTTGGCCGGGAATTTAGCTCAGTGGTTAGGCCCCCTGCTCCACAAGCACAAGGTTCAGAGTTCCATCCCTGGTACCAAAAACAAACAAACAAACAAACAAAACCACCAAACTTTTTCTGCAAAGGTTAGGACTCAGGTTTATGATTATTTCTATCAATTCCAATACCTCTTAATTTAAGCAGTTCTACCTCTCCACAATGCTGGTTTTAAAAAGTCACCTTTGACACCTCCAAGTAATACTAAGCAATCCAGATTAAAATCTTTAGGTAGAGCTTCAACACCTCAGTCGGACAGGCTGCATTTCACCCACAAAAATATTTCACAGCACTTGTAAAAATTGGGCCTGAAAGCAATGAAGGAAGGGTCAATTTAGGCGGTGCTATTTCAGATGTATTCACTGTTAGTTTCATTCACTGGTAGGCTCTTGGTTGCTACTTTTTTTTTTTTTCCTGTGATTGCTAATTGATAGAAACAGGGTGCAAACCTCAACCTGACCAAATACCAATGGCCAATACCAAAACTAGCAGATTCAGTTCTGAAGTCCTTACAGTTCTTAATCTGAGGGTTTAATAAACAGTGAAGTGTGTCAAAATTATCTTCATGTGAAGAAAGTGAATCTGCAAAGAAAGAAATGTATGTGTATAAAGACACAAAAGGACATCTTGGATTCTTGTGGACTTGTCTTCTGAATCCACTTAAACATATATGCCCACCTCCCTTTCTATTTCTTAGAGTCTGATGAGCCACTTTTACATTTTTAAATAAAAACCCCCATTCTCTGTCCGTGTCCTGTTCCCGTTATTTCCCTTCAGCTACTGGCTGAATTAGTTTTATTTGATGTGAGGGCAAATAGACTCCTTATATTTTCTCAATTCTAACACACTCTGATTTATTTACATCTTTAGGAAGAATTTTAAAAACCTTTCTTTAGATGTCTACTCAGCAATTTTGTGATGCACTCTGATTTCATAAATGTTAAAAAGTGGGAAGATATGAATCTTAAAACCATGGTGTTGCTCACAGCAGATTCTGAAAGTATAGAAGAAGCTTCATGGAAACTTACACTTCTATGTGTGAAAGGTCCCTCGTATGATCTCCTTGCTAGAGTTATTCTGTTGATGCCTGAATACTTTCAGTGATGGAAAGTTCATTATTTCATTCTGTGGTTGCACCAGTAAGATTCTCACGGTATAGCACACATTGGTTAATATCGCCAAGTCAGTTAATCCAGATGACTGAGTAGAACTTAGCAATGTATCATTTCGCTTCTACATCTTCTTTTAGTTAAACTATGATGTGGTTCTTTTCTATCAGTACATGTGTACAATATATGCAGTTTACAGTCACCTGGGGGAGTGGGTACATGTACCTGTTTCCTTTTTAAATCCCCTTCCCTCCCCTCTTCCCTCCTTCACCCTTTAATTCTCCTTTCCTCACTTTCATTCTTGTTGATAGTATTAATCTTAGCTCATATTTATGGCATACGGTGCTCACATTCATTGAGGTTATTATTAGGTTATTGTACATAGTGGATCTTTATTCTACTTATTTTTTCTTTCTTCTCACCCATCTTCTGCTTTCCTAAAACACGAATTTGAGCCTTACATTATGGCGTACAGCCGTATTGTGCTAATTTTTTATTTGAAAAAATCTCCTCGGAGGCTTCTTCCAACTGGGCAAGGAGCAATACAAGCAATGTGGAGATGAATTTTTTTAAAGCAAGCGTGTAACTAGATATTATTAAAATCTTGATCAAAGAACACAAGTCTGTGAAGTGCAAGCAATATTATAATAAAAACTTTCTAGGGATATAAAATTAAAATCATGCTTTAAAATGTGTTAGTATTACCCTTAAAACTAATTCAATGATCTAAATAAACATTTCAAAATGTATATTTATTTTCAATTGTTGTAGTTCAGATGCTTTGGTATGAAAACCTTCCTTTTGTTTTAAAACAAGTTTTGAAAAACAAGCATGTATTTCTTTTAAACACCTTCTTAGTTATCAAGTTCATGACTACAAATGTCCATCATCAAAACATTTTATGTTTTGTTTTTTTGAGAACAGGGTCTCACTATGTGGTTCAGACTACTCTGCAACTCACTGTGTGACCCAGGCTGGTCTTGAACTTGCAGCGATCCTCCTGCCTCAGCCTCCCAAGTGCTGGGATTGCAGGCATGTGCCACCACACCTGGCTTATCATCAAACCATTTTTAATCTGAAAGCAAATGGCTTACAATCTTTGAAAAGAAGTATTTTCTTTGCCAGGCATGGTGGTGCATGCCTTTAATCCCAGCACTCCAGAGGCTGAGACAGGAGGATTGTTCTGAGTTTGAGACCATCCTGGGCTACACAGTGAGTTCCAGGTCAGTCTCGACTACAAAGTGAGACCCTGTCTCAAAAAAATAAGTAGCATTTTCTTAGGTTATACAATAAATTATTTTTGGTGGATTTTTCATTACTATAGTTAGCAGACATTTATCTGTAATTACATAGGTGATTAATGTGTTTAGCAGGTTACACCAGCCCAAGCTTTCCCTTAGATGAAAAGTTTCTCAGTATTCCAATTTTACCAAAATTAATTTTAAAAGTCTACTCACTTAATATAAACCATGTCTGTTTCCATTGAAAGTACATGCTTATATTATTCTGAATCCCAATGTTATAAATAGTTAATGAAGATTCTGGGTGTTGCTGAAGTTTGGTGTATTGCTGGAAACAGTACACTATTCCTTGGAAAGAAAGAAAAAGAGATTCATATAAAATGTTATTCTCTGAAATAGAATCTATATGCTTATTACACATACCTAGAAGAAACAGATCATATGACCATTTCCACAAAGGCAAGATTCATATTAACATAGTCATTAACTTTTTGGGGCCTAACAGTCTAAATGTGCTACTGTATTTAATATGAAAACTTTCAGTATTTGTCTGGATGACTGTGACATATCTCACTTTAAATGTACTCTTGATGAACCTTTTCTATTTCTAATACTTTTTGCTTTAAAATATATTGTGTCTGGTTCTTTAATGTTAGTTCTTTTAACCATCCTTTCACTTTCAAAGGTTGTATTTTCTTATATGTTGTGTGACCTTTGTGAATAACATAAAACTCCAATTTGTATTGCATAATCTGACCTGACGATTTCTATATTCTAATTGATGAATGCAATACATTATGTCTAATGTATTTTTCTTCTTTTGCCTTTATTTCACTCTTTGTCTATGCAGCTTTGCTTACAGTTCTTGTCTTCTACGGATTCATCAGTTTTGCTTATTTATATTCCATATTTTTCTCTTTGGGTTTGGCACTTTCTATTCTTATAATTACCTTTGAAATTTTTCTGTGTGCTTAATAAGTTTAAAGCTGAATATCTTAAGAAGGAAAAGTAATAACTTTATCTCACTCAGTAATCCTCTCGTTTGGTTTTTGTTCAACATTGATTTAGAAATATTTTAACCTAACAATTGGATATTCCTCTCACTGCTATCTTACATAGGCAATGCTCGCTTTACTTTACCTACACATTTGCTGGCTCCTTCTCCTTGCCCAATATCCTCTCTCGTGTCACAAGTCCTTTTGCGGAATAATCTCCCTTCCCCTCTCTCTCCTCCACAACTCCATTGAAGCCATGAGGAAATAAAACTGTTTTACACTCAGGACAAACACCACCAGAGTCCTTTCTCATCTCTTTGTTCTGAGCGGCCCGTACTTGCACATGGATTACTGCAGTCGCTGCCTCAAGGCTCTCATCACTTCCGCCCTGCCTCACTGCAGTCCTTCTCAACATCGGAAGCACAGCGTCCTCACCGATCACCTCTCCGTGGCCCCACCCCACAATGCTCCCCTCCGAGAGCTCAGTCCCTCTGCAGGCCTACCAGTCTGCAGTACTGCGCATGCTCCGCAAGCTCACTTCCGGCAGGACCCCCTTCTCTGTGCACACCCGCCTGCCAACCTCTAATCCTTTCTCCATCACTCTCTCCTCCTTCTGGGGCCTTTGCTCCTGCTGTACCTACTGTTAAGAACTTCCCCATCTTCTCACTAGCTAACTGCATGGACTCCTCCAAGTGGCTCCTCAGATTTCTTCTCAAAAAGAACTACCCTTGGGCTGGGGATATAGCTCAGGTGAGAGTGCCTGTTGAGTGTGTGCCAGGCCCTGTGTTTGATCCCCAGCACTGCAAGGAAAAAACAGAGGGAGAGAGAGAAGAAAGAAAGAAGGAAAGAAAGGGGAAGTGGGAGAGGGGAGGAAAGGGGCTAAGAGAACAAATCTATCCCCATAATGACCGCAATTTTTACATTTTTACTCCTCTGCTGCTTCTGCTTCTTGTTTTCCACAACAAGTGTGAGCAGCCTAACTTGCATGAGCTATGAGGGCCAGGAGAGTAAGAGCCTTTGTGTGCTTACTGTTGTATATGTTGGGTCTAGTGGAATGCCCATGTGCCATAATTATTCAATGGATATATACTGAACAAATAAAAGAATGATGCATAACTAGGCATTACTCTCCTTGGTATAATTAGGGCTTTCTGATTATAAGGATCCATGATTTCATCAGTTTCAAAAAATTTTCAGCCAGTAATTTTTGTTTGGGCATTTTATTCCCATACCAGGGATCGAACTCAAGACCTTGTGCTTGCCAGGCAGGTGTTGTGCCACTGAGCTACATCCCTGGGTCCCCAGCCAATAATTTTCAAATATGGTTGGTGTATATTAGATCATTCTTTATCTACTCTGTTTTAAACCCACAATCATTTTTGTGTCCTCTTGTTGCTTTCTGCTGGGTTTTAAGTAATTCGGATTCATTTCCCAGTTTATTAATTCTCCATTTTTCTGTTTAACTTATCAATTTAATGTTTAATGATTCCTAAATTTTACAAAGTTTTATTTGATTCATCTTCATGTATACAAAATACGATCAAAATATGATCACAAGATATAATCAAAACAGTGAATATTTAAAAATGTATTACAATAAAAGTCACACTGCCATTAATCTCCTTCCTCACTTGAGCACCCTTATCCGATCATCCTTGCCTCTTTCTAAAGCAGTTCTGTAAGTCCTTTTTCAAGTCTGTATGAGGTGTAATAAAAAGTGTAGTGAATGCTGCTGCTGAGTACCATATAATGGAAAGGCAGACTTGTAAAAACATCAGTGTGCCCTCATCCACCTATATTCTAGACCTGGTACCGTGTGATCACGTCTCTTCCCCCAACCATTAAAGGTAAATGTTTTGAATCAATTCAGGACATCAAGGAAGCTATAACAGTGCAACTAAAGACATCAAAGAAGACTTCCAGGACTGTTTCAGAAAAATGGCAGGAAGGACAGGATTAGTGTGTTTGAAGTGTGTGTGTGTGGGGGGTGTTTTGAAGGGGATTAATGGCAAGGCTTCTTTTCTTATTATATTTTTTAAAAATGTAAACATTCACTATCTTTTTCTACCACATGGCATACACAGGCATTTTGTTGATTTATTTTTATGATTCCATCTTTAATCCTTTAAACATTTTATACATAGTTATTTCATGTTATAGATCTATTAATTCCCATAGTTGATGTTTATAGCTTCTGTTGGTATTCCCAAATGACTGTCCTTGGATGTTTGGTAATTTCCTACTTTGTTGACCTTAATCTGTGGAACCTGGTGAACCTACTCTGAAGTACTTTCATCTAGAAGGGCTTTGCATTTATTCCTGTTGACACCTGAAGAGAGCTCATAAACTGGGCCCACTTCAAATACTCTGCAGGGTCCCTGCCTTGCTGCAAATGCTCCATGGATCCCTGCCCTACCTGTGGCGGCTCAGGCTTCAGCCGCTGGACTCCAGAACTTCTAGCTGTGCCCAGCATTTCCTGTGTGATTCCTGCTCAGTTCCCCACTTTGATTTTAGCTCCCCAGTCAAAGGAGAATCATAAACATAAGAAATCAACAAATCCTCACATATGAGGTGTGACTGCAAAATATAGTAATAGAAAAATTTTCTTCTTTGGGGAAAAATTCTTTTATTTCCTACGAGTTCAGGGCTACAGCTTGGATGTTAAATGCTTCTTCTGAAGGTCATGTGTTAAAGGCTGCTTCCCCAGGGTGACACTATTGGAAAATGGTGGAATCATTAGGAAGAAACGGCTGATGGGAGGTCTTCATTGGAGGGGGTTCCCTGGAAGGGATTGTGGGATCCTGGGTTGCTTTCTCTTCCTCTCTTCTTCTATGGCTTGTGATGGGAGAAGTTCAGTCTACCAGGTATTCCTGCTATGATGTGCTTACCTCATCAGGCAACCAAAGCAATACCTGCCAACCACCCATATTGGACTGGAAACTCAGCCATGAGCCAAAGAAACCTTTTCTCTTTGTAAGCTAATTGTCCCAGATATTTTGTTATAACAATGAGAAGCTAGTACACTCATAAAAATAACATACTACATTAAAAAACCCACAAATTTTACACCATTATTTCATAGCATAAGGACCCTCAGCCATGCTCTCTAATTTTCTTTCCTTTTGCCTTCTGTCTCCTGTCCTAGACAGATATTTTTGAAGTTATGATTTATGGGCTTCAAGCCCTCTCCCCTCAATGGTAATTGCTGTATACTAAACAGCAATAGCAACAACAAACACTCTTTAGTAATGCATATGCTATTACCTAGGTGAAGAAACTATGAGTTTGTTTACACAATAGGAGAAGATCGAGCAATTAAGATGATGAACCTGGGATTATTGCTGTTTCAAACTCCAAGCCCAGGTTCTTCGTGACTTCTTCAGCTCAGTGAGAATTATGCCATTGGTGTACACGAGCCCTTGTCTGCCAATAATATGCCTTTTTTCTGCTTAGAATGACACATCCACATTCTTTTATGCCCTGGTAAATGGGCTGTTGCAGGAAATAATTGGTTCCCTGTTACATCTGGAGAATCAGTTGTTCAAGATGCAAGCAGAGTTCAGTTGCATTTAGTTTTATTTGCTTGTAATTCCCAACTCTGATGGGACAGTTTCTCACCATAAACAGCTTCAAGCTTAATTCCTACATGATTTATTGTTGGGTTAGCACTATGTACACTGTCAGTAGGGAGCTAAAATTGATTGTTTTATGTGCACTTTTTATGTATTGATCATCTTTCTCTCTCTTGCCATTATCTTGCACCACAGCCAAGCCCACATTTCTTCTGCTTCTTAGGGCAACTCAGCGAAGTCAATAGCAGACTATTGGCCTTCCCTTCTGTGTGACAGTTAAAGAGTGAGTGAATCACATCCCTAGACTCTCCAGTGGTAAAGGGTAGGGATTAGAGCTCTAAGTAGGAACCTAAAACTTTTAAGTACAAGCTTTCTGTGGAGTTTCCAGTTAGTTTAGGGATAGTAGCTCTCCACCAGATGGATCTGTTACCTGGCTGTGCTTGAGGACCCCCAGGTGAAATTCAGGAGCAGCTTCACAGCAGGGGTAGACAAAGAATACCCAAGGACACCTGAACTCTTTCCTAGAACCTCCTCAAGGATAATGAGGAGGAAGACAACAATGACCCAACAATTACTGCTTTTTCTTTTTTACTGTGTTTCAAGCACTGCTCTCATAGGTGCACAAATATATTCATTTTCTCATTTAATCCTCACAATCTTCTGAGATGGCAACACCATTATTATGCCCAGGTTATAGATTCAGAAGTGGGATCTTATAAGTTACCACATTACTCACGATGGAACTGGATTAAAGCCCAGGCTAACTATGGAAACTGCAGTTCTGACTGCACTCTGATACTAAGATATGTAAAGCTCTCCTCTGAGGGACAGAAAGAGGAGATTGTTATTTTTGGTGTCTACTATCGTAAAACTATGTTGTCCCTTCAAAGTGTGTTATACGGGAAGTTATCTTTGGAAAAGAATCCTCAGAAACATTTCTGTATTAGCCCACACTTTTTTTTTGAAGACTGAAAGGAAATTGCTGTAAATAGTATATTACCCTATGGGAGGCATTTTAATTCTTTCTTTTGGAATTCACATGTACTTGAGCCATATAGCTTAAGCAGGATTGAGTTAAGGCTGGATTTCAACCTTGAAATAAAACTCTCCATCCAATAATTGTAATTCAGAACACTTGCCTCTAGAGGGTGATGCCTCATTATGAAGTATCAATTATTAAAATGTGTGACAGTATCAGGATTAAAAGTACCAAGTTGAAAGAGAAAAAGAGATCACATTACCATAAATATGCAGAAAGGGTCTCTGATCAGATATAAAAGTTTTAAAAGGAATTTGTCTGAGATGTTTTTCAGTAATATAAGAGGGAGTCTTTTACTACTTTGCAATAACCATGGGGGTTAGTAGGAAAGAGAAGAATATCCTGATAATACTATTTTCTAAGGTGATATAGAAAAAAAAAGTTTCAGAAACAATTATAAAAAATTAAATATTTTGTAAATTTAATGATTTTGGGAAAATACTTAAATCCAAGGCAAGTAAATGTTTTCTGGTAATTAGTAATTGGTAATAGCAAATGGAAAAACCAAAGGATTATTCTGATATTAAGAAATTTCAGGAGGGCAATACCTACCGTATCCCACAACTTCAAGCATACCCAACGTGAAGAACCAGAAGAGGCATCCAGCTATGAACCTCAGGAGTATCAAAAATGTCCAACTAAGGATCATCGCAATGGTCAGGCCACTAAAGGAAAAACCCACAACACACACTGGTCAAGCGAATCAAACATGGCATACACAAACATCAAAACAAGACTGTTTTCTATTCAAAATGATTCTTAGATTATTTTACTTTTCTTGTTATTGAGAAATATAAACAATTTCATATGAAAGAGTAGGACCATTAAAGGCTTTATACATAAGACACCTTTGTGTGCCTGGGTAAACGGAAGTACACTTTCCATCATTTTCTGAAGAAAAATACAAGTCCTCCAAACTACTCTGCCATAGTTGTCACGTGCAGACTTTTTCCCTTCACACCTAGTTGATCAATTATAAAATATATCCAGGATGAACGTGTGCTGTTTGCCTGGTGACTGAATGGTGGTCCACAGGGAAAAAAGACTTAAGGCAGAAAGATGAGAGAAAAGAAACTTGCTACATGGAGCCTGAGATCACACTTTTCTAGTCATTATCACTACATCTAATTCCCTTCAGTAGTTTGTGAAGCCTGATGCCACCACACTTCTATTTCAGGTCCCCAGTGATCTGGAGAGATGGTGGGGCCTCTATGCACCCCCCCCATTTTGTGACTTTATCAACAGCCAATTGTCTGTTTTAGTTTCTGCCTAGAGTTTGTTAGAGCTGCCAGAGAAGCCCCCCTACTCTTCACACCCAGGTTCAGGCCATGATTGAGTCTTCTGATACACTTTCCTTAAGGAGAGCTCATTACGATTGCAAACTTGGCTGATTATTTTATTTAGAACTGACCTCCCTACTGCTATCTGCCAGTTTCCAGTGATAGTGAGAGAGGGAGTCTGGCACATTTACGGGGTTTATGGATTCCTGTGTTATCTTTTTACAAATCTTAATCATTACTGTCACTGGATTGACCACAGCATGATATCAAAGTGCCCTTTCAGGTCAAAGACTTGCAGTCTATGTTTTTAACTTCAAAAGCCATTCCTTCTTAACATCAAAGTTACTGAATGCTTAAATACTCAGGCTGATGTCAGAGTACAAGGGGAATATTTTAAAATTGGTTGAGAGAAGAAAGTTGTTTACTCTGTGTTTTAATCTCTTTCATAAACATTATAACTGCATAAACTAAGCCCCAGAATATTAGTACTTTGGATGTATATTTACAAAGTATATGAGAGAAAAAGAGGCAAAAAGAAAGGGGGGTCCTGCTGTTCTTGAGGTCTCAGTGGTGCCTATAAAATTTCAGTGTGTAGGTGAGGTGGGTGGGAAAGTCTGCCATGCTGTGCACTTGGCCAGGTAAGAAAAGAGAGGGCGAGTGAACAACATGGAAATTATCAGTGACGTGTGGTCTGTCACTAGGGAAGCCAGTTTAATACTGTCGAGCACAAACTACAGTCTCTGTCCTGGAGATATTTTCTATGACATGGTGAAGATAATTTCTGGAGTTGTTTAAGCCGAAGCATCAAAACAACTAGCCTCTTAAAAAACTATCCTAGTTTTACAGGTCCAAACATTACTCACTAGTACTTCAGACACAAAAGAATTTCTACTTTATTAAGCTCCTCCATGTAGCTAAATATGAGCTGCCTCTGAAAAACTAAGTTGGGTCGACTGATAAAGGTCATGTCCAAAGGCTATGATTTATAAAGGAAGTGTCCAAAGAAGTGTTAACTTTATTCCTTGATCATTAGGGAGTCATAGAAGCTTTTAAGCTCTAGAAAGTGACATTCAAGTCAGAGACCGTGACAACCTAAGGTGTGTCAAACTCATTTACGTACATCAGTAGAGTGACTATATCACTTCAATACTGCAGCATTTATAAACCTTATGCCTTTTAATTAAATTAAAAATCTTCTCCTCTTCCATATACAGAGTCTGCCAAAAATGTATACACACTTCAGCAGTTCCCTGCAATAATAACTGTCGGGAAGCTCACGGGCATCACTTTGAGCACCTCTTGTCATTGCAGAGGCCAAAGGTAACTTGTATTAATCCCCTGATGTCTCAATAAATTTGGACAAATTTTTCTTTCCCTGATGTATACATTTTTTGGTGGGCTCTATTTTTTCAGCTTCTCATAACTATGCTAACCTTTGATGATACTCGTGACAAGGATAACAAGTATGTGCAAAGGGTGTGTTAAAAAGACAGGAATGAGACTTTGGAGGTCAAAGGAAGGAAAATGTGAAAAGAACTAGAGAAATAACACCATTGTAATTGAACAGCACACAAGCACTATAAATACAGAAATACCGCAGACACTGCTGCAGGTGATTTGAAATATATCAATACTCTTCCTACTAATTCAATAAATAAAACTAAATTTCACATTCTGATAACTGTTTGCTAACATTGAGGATGTTTTGAAATATCTTTGTCCCATCTGCACCTTATCTGAAAAAGAAAATGGCACTGAGATCTAAGTCAGTATTTTACCCATGAATAAGAACAAGGAATTTGAACATTCTACAAAAATAAAATTAAAACAAGTCTAGAGAAAAAAAACACCGAATTCACTTACACAATAATCCAATACCAAGTTGTTGCATAGTCTTCAAACACTTTTAAAGCGATTTCTCTTGCATCAAGGATTTTATTGATACCACTGAATTCAAAGAAGGAAAAATAAATTGTTTTGTGACTGGCATTAACAGAAATGTTCTTAGGATAAAGAGAAGCTTCAGGTTGCTATTCAAGGCATGTTTTTAGAAGCCACTTAGCAGTGACTTTTTTGTCACAATACATAAAATGTCCCTGCAATAAACCTGCAGAGATGGGTGAAGCTGGAAAGGTGGATAAGCTTGCAAAGGCGATCTAGCTGCACACACAGAGAATGTGGCTTTCGAGGAGAGTGAATAAACTCCTCTCCAGTACATGCAACCTGCCCTCGATATTGCAGAAGCCTCACTGTAAGGAACACATTTAAATGATAAGATCAGCTTTTCGTACAAAATCCATAGAGTTGAGAAATAAGATGATCTTTAATTCCCCTTCCTACTCCTCTGACAGCACTGCAGCCACAGGGCACAATGGGGCGCATATGGAAAAGAGTATATAAGTCATTAGTGTCCAATTTTATGAGTCATCAGTGTGAACACACTCATAAAATATACAAAGTCAGCCTTTCCCCGTGTGCCCTCTTACCCTAAAATAACAACTGTACTATCCTGACTTTTGTGATAATAATTTCCTAAGTTTTCTTTTAGTGTTAGTATTTATATATGTAGCACAGGGAAATTTAATTTCATTCTGCTTTTTTCATTAAATATTGATGCACCTTGTATTATTATTTTATTGTTTCTTTCACATGGATTCACATTCCTAAATTCATCTGTGTTGCTATTATATCCTAAATATGCGGGAGCTGTACTATACCACGTGTATTATCAATATCTTTTAAGAAGGAAAGACATTTTTAGAATATTTTGTTTTCCTTTTTAACTCAACAATTCAGCTATGCATTGATTCTCTGTACAGTATATGTTTACATCTGTGTACACATGGATGTGCACCAGAGAAATATATTTCCTAATAATCTGCGCACAGCCAAAAGAAACAGCAGATGTACTGAATTACAGTCTGCAGAAATTTGATTTGGCATCAATATTCTTCCTTGTCACACTTCTAATCCTATTAATAACGGAACACTGAACTACTTTGAGAAACATCATTGTTCTAATCCATCCTGGTTTCTTCTTCAATCTAGAAGAAATGTACATTTTATTTTTTGGGTTTTTTTTGGGGGGGTACCGGGGATAGAACTCGGGTCCTTGCGCTTGCCAGGCAGGCCACCGAACCGCTGAGCTAGATCCCCGGCCCCTACATTTTATAAGAACACAAATCTTAATCTTAATATCATGGAAGCTTTAACACTGGCTACCACAACAGAATGCATCAAAACTGAAAACAGAAATGGAAGCAGACATACTTGGCGGCCTCCCTGAGTTCCAAAGCAGTCCTCATCCTCCCACTGCCGTCTTCAAAGAGTACCCTATCGCCTACTGTTAAGGTGCCATTTCTGTTAATGAAGTCAGGGAAACATCTCTGCAGAACTGTGAAAATAAATTACAATTGTCGTCATCATGTTTCTACCTCTGTGATGATGTCCCCCTTTCTTAAGCTTTCTGTTATTTATAATCAGATCCTGCTAGGTATGTAAGCTGCTCAATAAGATAGCTAATTGCCTTTTAGTTGATTATTGGAAGATTTTCTGATAGCTCTAAGACTGAAATAGAAAGCAAATATGATCAAAACATGATGCTGCATTCCAAGCCTGGTGATTATTTTGTACAAGGCATATTCTCCAAGTTGCCAGAAATAATATGCATGGTGAACACTCATGGTAAACAGACTAGTAGAAGAGTCACATTCACTTGTATGACTGGATGAGCTTAGGTTTATTATGTTAAATATTTTTTGATAATCTTTGAGTGAAAACTTGAAGCCTGCAGATTAGTAAATAGCTCCTTGGGATAAAGAACTAGCTCAAAGTTTAAGCTACTAAGAGAAACTGAATTTTTATTTGTGAATTCTAAATTACCTGTCTTCCAACATTTTCATTTACATAGCTTTTTGGAGGGAGTAGAAATGAAGTTCTGCAACTATCTAAAGAGGCCCATAATTTGTGGACTGGTATAATTTCTAAGAAGAGTTGAATCACTGTTCAATCTTCTATGTTCTTATTTTGATTAAACAAAATCCTCGTCTCTTTACAAATCTGTTACCTAAAATATTTTCAAGCCTCAATTTTGAATGAAGAGGTAAGGAAAGTCAGAATTGGATCGTTTTCATATCCTTCCTTGTAAGAAGCAGTACTGATTTACATACAAAGTTTAAAACTGACAACGTTCAATCAGGGAAAGAAGAAATACTCTATGTCTCTAGAAAGCTTTTCCTGACTTTCCTGGATCTGCTGCCCACCCACGTCCAGCTTCTATAGCTATCGCCGTACGGCTAGTTCAAGTGCCCACCCTCGCTTTCTCAGGCTCTTCCTGCCCCTGCTGTGGCTAAGGTGACACATTATCCGCCGCCACTCGCTTCCGCTTACTCTCAAGCCACTCTCATTTCTGCTCTTCCACGGGAATTGCCCTCAGCGACCCCAGTGACCCTGTTCTGGAGATCTCATCCTTCGCCATGGTGCTGGGCACTAGTAGAACTCAGTCAATGTTTGCTGTTGACGGAGCTAACTTCTCTGAGCCTTGGACATGGTAGATTCGCCTTACCTTTGTAACACTCTTGTTTCCTTGGCTTACGTGAACTGGTATTCTCTCCTGCCCTCCTTCCTTTCTGTGCATTCTGTCCCCTTTTACTCCCTAAATATGAGTTTTCCCACCTAGAGACATCCTTAATCTTGTTCCACATAATATTTCTGGGCAATATCATCTGATCTGTTAACTTCCATTACTTTATATGCTCATTCTATATTTGAAAAGTAAAGAAAATACAAAACTAGTCATAAACTATATTCATATTTTGATGAATTTCCTTTTGATCTTTCTTCAACAATTTTCTTTTCCTTTGCAAGTCAAAATTATACAAGACATACAGTATTTTCCCTTGTTTTTTTCTGTTAATACTTTTTTTTCTTTCATAAAGTCTTTAATGAATGGATTTTATTAGGTGCATACCATTCTACTAAAGTATTATACTTGATCCCCAAGGAGGAGAAGTTGATGGCCATATTTATCTCCATGTTTCCCTCACTGGACTGTGAGGAACTATGCCTTATTATTTTTTTTTTTTTACCCCAAGGAACATTTTACATGATTTATCATCCAAACTGTACTCATTAGGGCAAGAGCAGTGTCTCAATACTTTTATACCTGCTACATGCTCCATAACTAACAATTTGCTTTCACAGTTTTACATAAATATTTCAACATTACGCTTGACTGGCACAGACACTTGCTGCCCAGGTCTTCCTGATTAGTTGCTGTTCACGGGACCCATGTCTCTGCTTCTGGTCAGTAATGAACCAGACGAATGACAGGAGCGTCGGACACTTGCATTTGGTAGGAATTACTGCGATGTACTAGACATTCTGCAGTAGGTGATACCTCTAACTGTTACCTTTCTTTTATTTTTTAAAACAATATATACTCATTGTGGAAAATGAGGAAAAAATGGAAATAAGAAGGAAAATGCCTACTTCTTCCACCTCCAAAACAAGTCTTTTAATATTTTGGTATACTTCTGCCCAAGGTTTTTGAGTAGGTTTTTTCTCTTGATGCTGTTGTTCATTTTAGTTGTGACATGCTTGTATTTATATATAACAATTTGATTTTTATTCAACATTAAACCAAAAATGTGCATGTTCTTGTAATACTTTATGTTTAATACTTCTAGAATATTTAAGGACTGCAGTGTAATTTGTAATTGTTTCGTTGCTTTTGGATGTTAGAGAATCCTTCTATTTTTTCTCTTCCTCTCTGCTTTTTTTTTTCCCTTCTCATTTGTACTTTTTTTTTAGTTATTTCAAATGAATATTTTGATGGATATTTTATGCCAGGTTTTTCTCTCTAGTTAGGATTATATCTTTAAGAAAGGAAAATGAGTGGTTATTTCATTTTTTTCTAAGTGTTTCACTTTGACATTTTAAATTTTAAAGAAGTAATATGTAGATTAATTCAGGAGATATATAAAATAATCCAAATATCAAATTATAAAGACAAGGATATTTCCCACGCCTACCCACTGCAGGAATTTCTGAACAAATTTTGGGGCTGAAATCAGGAGTAGGTGTGAATAAACATAAACATATCTTATCTGTGTGTGTATTTATGCATGCTTGTTCAATCAATTTGATTGGCTTTTTAAAAATCAATTTTTTTTTACCTCTTGTGTGTTTATGTAGCAAAACCCAAATCTCACAGAGCTCCAGCAAAGTATCCCTGATGAGTTTTATTTTCAACTTTCCTAATTAACCCAGGGACCTCGGGCCAGTCCCACGACCATGTTTGGCCTCAGTTTTGTCAATTGTAAAATAAGGAAATCTGATTTAGTTAACAACTTCTTGTTAGATTCTGTGTTTCTAAGGTAAAATAATTACCACATACAAGGTTTGCTTGGAAAAACCGCGGTGGGACAGTCATCATCAACTAGGACTTCAGGCAGAGACTGAAACAGAAGGAAGACTGTGTTCATATTTCACAGGCTATGATGACTACTTTGACTTCAGTGCTAAAGTTTTGCTCTTTAAAAATGTAACTCCAGAAAGGCTATTATTCCACCAAGATAAACACACACAAACTCTGGTTCAACAAAATTTTTTAAATGGTCTAATTATAATTAAACTGAATCAACTGAATCAAAATAATAAAATCAGATAATAAAATCCGACCTTCTGAAACAAGGCACACCCATGAAAGTTTATAACTTTGGCTAAGCTAAATTTCGAGTATCTAATCCTTCCATTTTTTTTCCTGGAGAAACTGCATCGCTGTAATGTAAAAGCCATTAATAGTATTTAACATAATAAGGCTTTAGAAATACCTTATAAATCTGAAACCTAGGTAGGGTTTTTTTTTTTTTTAATGAGCAGTTATCAAATGATGCTTGAAAACAAAATTCTTTTTACTAAGTTGCTATAGGGTTTATCAGTACATTAATGAAACGGTGATTGCTAATAGCATTAAATCCTTGCTCTGGACTTGAAAAAAAAAAAGCCCATCCAGGTATGGTAATAGTTGAAGATAACTTACCAGACTTAACAGCTTTTCCTAACACTCAAGTCTACAGTGACACTCTATAAATGAGGCATATTTAAATGAGTGTAAACATGTACTTGTGCTTTAATGCAATGGTGCCTGAGTAATCATTTCCTCATTTGAGAGTTTGTCCAGTAACAAATAATCATGTTACACTTGAGAATGAAACAAAAGTTAAATTCTCCAGTTGTCAGCTTAGACATACCTTGGCGGGTTTAGCAGTGGACTTGCAGAATTGACGGTAGTACTCCCAGTAGCTACTGTCCTTTTTATACAAAATTTGCATTTCCATGTAGGTTAAAAATTTCTCTGGGCACTTGGAGACACAGATCTATGAGAAAATGAGCATAATGATAGCAATTGAGTTGAGAAGAAAATATTTGTAAGATTAGACTTTTAAATTGTCCACCAGAATAAAGAGCAAAGCTATGGTTTGCACCTAAGGAACGTAAATCAGTTTTCTGACTTAATTTTGTAAAAAAAAAAAAAAATGAATTCCAAGTAGAGTTACCATTGTCTACTCATTGCTCTCCAATGTTGATATTGTGTTAAAACAAGATACTGTACAGTGATAAACTTATTTTTTTTAGCTTTTGATTTTGAGATAACTGCAGTTCCACATAGAAGTGTAAGAAATAATAGAGATTCCGTGTAACTTTCACCCAATGGTAATAATCTGCATAACCATAACAAAACATTATAAGCAGGAAAGTTATATTATAACAGACAACAAACCTTAGTTAGATTGCACTAGTTTCATATCATTCATTGGTGTGGGGGGGTGCACTTCTGTACAGTTTTATCCCCTGAGTAGACTCCTGTGACCATTCCCACAGGACAGTAATGAACTTCTAATAAAACATTCTTATGATTTTCTGAATTAGTACATAAGAGTGTAATTCAAGATTAATTTTGTCTATGTAGTTTATACATATTCAGGGCTGGACTTTTGCTTCCTTTCCTATATATGAATAAAATAATGACAATGAAACTTGCTCTGAATATTGATAATTTGAGTGACAAATAATTATTCATGCCAGTGAATTCTTCACAGTTATTCTCAAAAACAAAATTAGAGTTTGGTCACTACGACAAGTGAATTAGAGCTATTTGTCGCAATAAATCATTATTCTAGTTTTTTTATCAACACTAAACGTGGACAGAGAGCTCACATGTGCAGTTATTTTACGTGAATGAGTCTGGGGCCCCGCAGGGCCAAACCCTTTCACTATGCTTCTCCTGACCAATTAGAAATTCCATAAAAAGGTGGCAGATGCAGGAATTTTGCTTCTGTTTATAATAATAAAAACAAAAGAAAGTCGGAGGAAGTCAAGTGAGATAAGGTTAGCATCCAACATCTCTCCATCATTTTAGCTCCTCCGTGTGATGGCCTTGGCCCCTACGCTCCATCCCTGCTGCTCCTTGGTAATTATTCTTGCTGCCTGAGCCCTGTAGGTTATAGGTGAAACCATTGCTACTGAACTGACGCCACTTCTCCATCCCTTGGGTGTGTTTCTGCTGTACACAGGACAGTGGCGTTGACCTCACAGCGAGGTTAATCAGGTGATAACTAAATGGATACCCCAAGTATCACAGTTCATATGGTTTTGTAGCAGCAGCAATCCAATGTCTTGTGGGTGCTTTGAGGCAATAAACAACTTATCTCCACAGTCATGCCTCCACCTGCATTTTCTCTTGTTCTTCATTCATTCACTCACACACACACACACACACACACACACACATGCACAATCTCATACACACTCACACACTCACGAGGAAACATTGGCAGTTTCAAGGTACCAATCTAAAAAAGATGAGAAACTATATAGGGACATTCACAGCATTCAACATATTCAAGTATTTTGGAAGGAAGTTAAGGTTATTATCAATGGAAATGTCAAAAGTTCACTCTGATTGGAGCTAAGCTGAAGAAATCATTAACTTGTTGGGAACTATATGACAGATATTTAAGCTTTGATTATTTACTTATTAGAAGATGTTGAAAGATAACTGACCTAGTTTCCCTGTTGGATATATGTGGATTTATAAAGTCAGTACTGAAAGAATTAATGCTTTCATGAGTTTATCAGGATGTTAAGAACCACTGAGTTGCAACTGTGGCATTTTCTTTTTTCATGTTTTACTGGTACATGTTTGCAGTACATGATGTTTTTGTTTTTGTTTTGAGAAAGGGTCTCACTTTGTAGTTCAGGCTGGTACTGATCTCACTATGTAACCTAGGCTGGCCTCTAACTCATGGCAATCTTCCTGCCTCAGCCTCCCAAGTGCAGGGATTATAGGCATGCACCACCACACCTGGCTAATGATTTCATTTATTGTGTGGAGTTGGTACATGTACAAAACATATCTTAATTCTGTTTTAGACCCTCACCCCTTCCATCCCTTCTTACTTTTTCTATCTCTTAGGAACATGAGAATTTCTGTTTTTGTTTTTGAGGTACTGGGGATTAAATTTAGGACCTTGTGCTTGCAAGGTAGGCACAGTGCCACAGAGATAAATCCCTGGCCCTGGAACACAAGAATTTCTGCACTTACAAACACATACACTATGCACACTACATATATAAAAGTGTGCAACACATATAAGAAAGAAATTAAAATGGTAAAAAGTGGTTTATTAAAGAGAATCACATTAAATTTCATGCCAGACACAAATGAGCTACTAAAAAAACAATATAGCAACTGCTCTTTACTTTTTGTCTCCATCAGACCAATTTGTTCACTTCAAATAGGATGCTGATTAGGAGTAATCAACATATAATTGGCAAAAAATGAAGGTCACATTGAGGTTGCATATCCTAATTGATCATAGTCTGTCCTTTAAATGCTCGTGACACATGTCTGAATCACGCTGGCAGTTAACAGAAACATAATGCATGCATACAACATTGCCTCCTAGACTAAGGCAAGGCAGCTAAAATATATCCTGACTCAATTCTGATTCTCTGTGTACCAGAAAGAGCACACTGAATATAGATTTTTAATCACTGTTTTACATCTTTGATTCACATATAGTTAACACTCTGATATAAATTAGGATTTGGTGTCTGTGAGAATGAGTTACACTGAATATAAAAACACTGTATTTTTTGCTATGAAGATGACCTAGTAAATAATTTATGAAACACAACAAATAAGTGTCACTCGCAAGATTTATTGTCTCATCATAGAAATGATAGATTTGTATAGTGGAAGATTTCCTTGACTGGGAAAGGAAGATATTCCTTCACTCACTTATTAATTCATTAGTTGTATAAATACTTACTGATCACCTATTCTGAGTTTGTTATAGGCACTGGGGACTTAGTAGTGAACAAAACAGAAAAACTCTTTACTCTCAAGCAGTTTGTCTTCTAAGAGTCAGAGACAGATAACACATGAAAGATAAGCAAAATGTTGTTATAAGATGGCACTAAATGGGAACTAGCACAAAGAAACAACTGGGATCTCATCTTTTTAAAAAGCTTCTGGGCCGGGGATTTAGCTCAGTGGTTCGGTGGCCTGCCTTGCAAGTGCAAGGACCCAAGTTCAATCCCCGGTACCAAAAAAATAAATAAATAAATAAAAAGCTTCTGCACTGTAGAGAAACCACCAAGAGGGCTAGGAGATAACCTACAATGTTAGAAAAAGTTTTTACCAGCTCTTCCTCAGACAAAGGTCTATTATCTAGAATATACAAAGAATTTAAACAAAATACATCAGACCTCCCAAATATAAAGACCAGATTCAAAAATGGGCATTTAAAAGGGAAAAGAAAAAAAATGTGAGATAATGAAAAGATGGAAATAAAGTGGTTGTAGATGGGGAGGGGAGGAGGGGATGAAGGGAGGGCAGGGACAAGGGGAAAGAATGAGAACCAAGACCTGTCATGAAGAGGTACAAGGTCCCAACAATGAATGTAACTGTACTGTATCCCTAAAATGTACCAATAAACTCAATTAAAGCTGAAAAAAATGGGCATCTGAAATGAACAGACATTTCTCAGGCAAAAAGCAGCACATAAACATAGGAAAAATGTTCAACATCACTGGTCTTTCGAGAGATGGAGATGAAAACAAAACTGAGATTCCACCTCACCCAAGAAAGAATGGCTGCTATCAAGAAATCAACCAATAACAAATGCTGGTGAGGTTTTAGGGAAAAAGGAACACTTCTCCATTGTTGGTGGGAGTGCAGACTGGTGCAACCACTGTGGAAATCAATATGGAGATACCTAAAACAACTAGGATTAGAGGTCGCATTTGACCCAGCTATTCCCCTGCTGGGTATTTTCCCAAAAGAAGTAAAAGAGTCATACCACAGTGATATATGTGCACCCATGTTTATAACGGCACAGCCTGTAATAGCGAAAGCTTGAAAACAGCCCAATTGCCATCAATTGGAGACTGGATAAAGAAGATGTGTTTTTTTTTTCTTTTATAAAATGGAGTACTACTCAGCCATAAAGAATGAGAAGCTAGAGACATTTATAGCTAAGTGGATGCACATTGAGGACACTCTTAAGTGAAATTAATAAGACACACTTGTGTAAATAGTGAATGGCTTCTCTAGTGTGAAAAACTAAAAGTGTAAATAAGAATCAAAATGTATAATTGATATTGTGTAATAGGAAAAAATGTCTAAAGGAGTAGGGGAAGTGGGAGGGGTATGGTAAAAAGGGAAAAGAAAAAAATATGAGAAAAGGAAAAACATGGAAACAGAGTCTTTTTAAATAGGGAAAGGTAGAGGCAGGTGAAGGGAAGGCAGGGGAATGGGTAAAAAATAAGAACCAAAATATATCATGTAAAGGTACAAGATCCCAACAGTGAATGTAACTACTGTATACCTAAAATGTACCAATAAACTTACTGGAAAAAAAAGATGGCACTAAATGCTACAGGGAAATAAGGTCATAAAGGAAGTTGGAGAGGGAGGAACGAGTGAGGTGTTGGCTGGGTGAGATTTCAATTTCAAATAAGTAGGTCTCACTAAGGAGGTAGTGTTTGCAGAAAGACTTTAATGATGAGGAATTAGTGGAGGAAGAGGAAGGACTGGAGGAAGAGGACTCCAGGCAAAGAGAACAGCAAAATAAAAGGCTCAGAGGCAGGCTTCCTGATCCTGTAGAGAACAACAGATGGTCACTGTGACCCAGATGTGGTGAGCAAAGGGAGTGTCACAAATCCTCAGAGAGTTGATCAGACTAGGAAGGGTCTGATAGCTCACTGTTAGGACTTTGTCTTTTAATAAGAGTAACAGGAAGACACTGGGACATTAAGCAAAGAGGATACTTAATCTTACCTAAATTTGACAAGATCATATTGGCTGCTGGGCAGGAAAGAGACTACAAAATAGTGGGGTAAGGGAAGGACAGAGGCAGAAAGACCACTCAGGAGGTCACTGAATAACCTAGAAAACAGTAACTGTTCCCTGAATAAGGGAATAGATGGTGAGTCATAGGTTGGTACAGGATATGTTCTCAAGGGAGACCAAAGAAATTAGCTCACTGTTCAAACATGGGTGTGTTCAAGAGGCAACAGGATGATTCCACTGTACTTGGTACTGGTGTTAATTAAAATAGAGAAAACTGTTGAGAGTTGGGAACCTTCTAGAGACTAAGCCAGCGATTAGAAACTCAATCCTGGACATGTTGAACAAGGGTTATCAACTAAATATCCATGTAAAGATACTATAAAAGTTTAGAGTTCAGGCAGCAAATTTATTTGGAGAAGATAACAAGTAAGGAAGGGCAGCACATAAAATGATCTTAAACCCATTATGAGATCAACAAAGGATTAATGCAGACTTAGAAGAGAGCTAAGCTTTGTGGGGAAGAGAACACCAATGTTTAGAAGATGTTGTTAAAAAAATAAAGACAAATCAACAGAGGAGACTGATGGGGAGCAATCAGAGTTGGGAGGAAATACAGCAGAATACTATACCCTGAAAGCCAAATAAATAAGGATTGGTTAGGGCCGGTGATGCAAATGTAGACTGAATATTGACCATCGGTTTAATAATAGAGAGGTCAATGGTATAATCTGGGGAGAACTAGACTAGAAATAAAAGCCTAGATGAGAATGTAAGGAAAGGATTCAGATACAGCAATACAATCTTCAAGGAGTTGTGCAAAAAAAAAAAAAAAAAAAAAAAAAAAAAAAAAGAAGCAGGTGGAGAGGTTTGAAAGAGGAGGAAAAGGTGAGAAATCTAATAGAGTAGGAGAATGGGTTGGTGAATGGGCAAGGGGTGTGCAGCACGGCCGTGGGACCATGGCATTAACGACACTCTTGAGGTAAGGTTCTGAACTTAAAGAACTGTTGTGTTTTTTTCTCCCAACAACATGCCTAGGCTTAGGCATGGAACAATCAGAGAGCTACACTTAATACAGATGAGGTTCTTCCAGAGAAGTATGACTCGGGGAGAGGACAGAGGAACTGGGAGTTTACATAAGGGTGTGGCTTTAACAAGGGACTGGGGCATCTAATTAGGCAAAGAGGCAAGTGACAACATGAGAGTAATGAAGGAGACTTTGAAGAGATAAGGCTCAGTGGTTTATTGCTAAAAGTCAGTGAAACAGAAGAATCACTGAAGTTGTAGTATTAGATTGCAATGATAAAATAACCGAGATTACAAACACAGGTAATTACTGCTAATGACAAGTTTAAGTTTTAATCTTAGGCAAGTGTGTGGAGGTGGTGATAGAACTAAACTATCAAAATCCCTAGTGTGCTTTAATCTCAGCATAACTAAACTTCCAAGTCTTCAGGACGAAACAAAGAAGTACAGCAGATCCACGAGCTAACTCTAGGAAAGACTAGAGGTGTGGTATTGGCACAGAGAGCCGAGGAGAAGCAAGTCGGTCAGAAGACTGGTAAAGTTTTGAGGTCATCAAAATGCCAAAGAAATAACGAGCTACCCTAAAATATATTTTATTAGTTAAAACAGTCTGTGAGGCACCATACTTGCACAACAGGAAGTGACCTTCAAAGCTGTATGGCCATCAGAAGGACCTACTCTGCACTGCTTAGCCTGGTAACTAATGGACAGAAAACAGCCTCCCAGGTGGCCAAACAAAGGGCCCCAGGATGAATGGCTAAGGGAGTTCCTCTGAGAGAACATCATCCAGGTCAACGTAGGGCTGTTCTCCATCACCACGCCCCAGAGACTGCTCTGTAGGGTATCTCTTCTCCCTTTCTGATGGGAGAGTTATTCTAATTTTCCTAGCTGCTCCCTGTCACGCAGTTAATGTCAAGAGCTGATGGACAGAGCATCAGATACATCACGCACAGATCCTGGACTTTGAGTTAAAGACAGTACTCCATGAGACTCAGAGTTCTCCTTTTGGAAGAAGAGTATTCGGGTGGCCAGAGGAGAGACCATGGAAGACACAACTACCCATTGAGCTTTGTGCTTCTGGATCCATGGTTAGAATTGGCTGCTTAGCTCACAACTACCGTGCTTGATTTTTTTCCTCCTTCCCCCTAGGTATGATCATATTATTTTATCTCAATGGCATATGAATAGAATTGCTATGTGCAACTCTCCTGACCCAAGGCTTTTAAGAGTGGTGCATCATTTATCCTTGCTGTCTCCTTCTGGCAGCTGGATGCAGGTGCTGAAGACTTAAAGGATGACAGAACACTGAGATAAAAGGAACCCAGGTGAGCATGGTCCGATGGATGCAGATATCTGCCTGGTACTGTTACGTGGTTAAAACAGACATTATTGTGTTAAGTCACTGAAAAACTAGAGTTCATTACAGGAGCAAACTTTACCTTTCCTGATACAACATTATTGTTGAGAAAAAATAAATCTATTTCTTTAGTCTGGCAGTTATTTATTTACAAAATGCAGACTCTTGGGTAAAGTAATCACCAAGTTTCCTTAGCAATTCTAAAATAATTAATCCCTGCTTAGTTTTGATTGTATATAAACAAAACTGAAATAATACTCGTGTCTTTTGATCACACATACACAGGACTCAAATCAAATTTCTGAAATCGTTTATCCCCAAATGTTCAGACCTGCTGCTGTCATCAGCAGGCATCTTTTTCCTTACCTGTGTGGTAGGGCACTGAAGGTTTATCATCACAGAGGGACTGGCACATCTTAGCAGGTTAAAATAAAACAAAACAGTCTTGTTCCTGTTTAGAAAACACATTAAATAATCTTTTCAGTGACCATGGAAATATTCTGTAATATTTCAGATCCCAAACATTTTTAATATATAACCTTTAAAAATTAGCTTAATTTTCTTTAGACAGCTACAATACAGTTTCACTCTCCTCTTTAAGCTGTTTAACAATTAAATAATCTTTTTCTAATTGTAAAAAGTTGACATAATCAAACTGTTCACCAGCAAGGGATTGGTTAAACACAAAATTGTACATTCATGAATTGGAACATTACTTTGCCAGGCAAAATAATGTTGAAGAACATGTTTAATGAATAGATAAATTGATTATACATTAAATTTAGAACGCTACTGAGTAAAGAATATTAAACTATGCTTGATTATAACTATGTAACAATGTAATAAACTATGTAGAAAGAAAATTATATAACTAAATGTTGGGTTGTATTTATTTAGTTTTTGTCTTTTGGAATTTCTAAATATCAATGTCATATTACTTTAGTTATATGTAAAGAGAGATAAATAATTTGATTGACATTTTCTTTACTGAAAATTAGAGTTAGTGGCAGAGTAGTGGCCTCTGACTATTTTTCCCTACTAGTTTTGAGTGAACTATTGCTCTGCTATTTGACAAGCCACCTGAATCTCCATTTAGTCATTAGCCAAATGAAGAGAACACTACGCCTGACTATTTCACAGTGAGTGGTGTTGGGATACCTAAGATAATGTGTAGTACACTCAAGAGAAGGAAACGCCCAACTTTAGTTTACATAAATAAAACTTGGAGTATTCATTAAAAATCCTGGTTCCCAATTCCTCCTTGACCCTTGAGAGCTCGTGTATCTGGATATTGAGCCCAGGAATCAGCAGTGTCCCCTAAGATTCCCAGTGGATTTAGATAAAAGTACTTCATAAAATACACCTTAAGAAACATAGCTCTAATTACTCAAGGTTTCCCAGTACCTTATCAAGTTTTACATTAATTAATTTGACTACATGCACAGCATAAATATATATAATGGTCTGCTAAGCAATGTCTTCCCTGACCCAGAATCAGTAAGAATGGCCCATCTGAGAATAAAGGAAATCCTCCACAAGAAACCAGGTTTAGATCCTTCCATTGCTCGTATCTCTTTCCCTGTCTACATAAACAAAAGGCGAGGAAATGGAGTACAGAGCACAGTTGGAAAGATACACAGATCAGATTTCAGAGGAGCCCCCCACCATTGAGGAACGGGTGGGCTGTCTTTCCCAATTCCAAGTCCTAGAAGACTCTGAGAGAACCTCTCCTGGACTAAAGGTGCCTGTAAGAAGGGCAGATCAGAATCTCATTTTCCAGCTGAACAACTCTTAATGCGGCAGACCTGTCTGCCTATTTGATCAGGAAGAAACAAGACCCAAGAAGACCACAAAAGAGTTGAGAAAGTTCAGTAGAGCAGAAAGAAGTCAGCAATAAAGCAGCTCGTCCTGGTAGGATGTGCAGACATGCAAATGAGCTTCAGCTAGTGGTGCCTTGCTGGGCAGTAAGAGACTGTGGGGCAAATCACCAGGAATGGAGAGTAAACCAAAGCTGATATCTCATACCTAACAACTATCCAGGAAGGATGTCCCAGGAAAATTCTCCCCCATTCTCCATAAGAAAGCCTGGGCATGGTGGTGCACACCTGTAATCCCAGCACTCCAGAGGCTGAGGCAGGAGGTTTGCTGGGAGTTGCAGACCAGCCTGGGCTACATAGTGAATTCCAGGTCAGACTCTACTACATAGTGAGACCCTGTCTCAAAAAACAAAAAACAAAAACAAAAAAAAAAGCCTGTTTTTGCATGATTGCAAAGGAAGGTATTGATAGCTAGTCAGTTAGGTCTGAGCCACAGTAACAACAGCCAGGTGGGACTGGGTTATGACCATTAAAATACCCGACAACCCTTTCTTTCTCCTCACAACACCATTAAAGAGCTAGAATCAGAAAGGAGAGACAGGGAGAAGCAGACCAGATACTCTACGGACTCCAACTCCTTTGTAGGATCAAAGTGGACACTGGGAGAAATTAGATTGATATTTTAAATTGGGCTAGGCTAAAGCTTTAACAACAAGGAATGTCTGAAAAGTCCCGTAATCTCCCTGAGATGTCAAAGCAAGAAGGGACATTTGAACAAACATGATTAAAAGCATTGATAGGAGAAAAATAAAACCACATCATTCAGATGTCCCACTGGGTTCAAATGGCTCGTGCAGCTGGTTATAAATTCACACAGGGTAAGCACAGGGGTAGTTAGGGCTCTGCTAGTGTCAGCTTGGTCTCTCATCACTCAAGCAACTGCGGTGCCCACACATTCTCACTGAGCATGTGATTCACTTCCTACCTAAGCAAATGAATAAATTATCATATGTCATGGTCATTGGCCCCTGAGGAGAAGTTAAAACTCTGAATGGAAAAATCAGTAAGTATCAAGAGTCCACCAAAGGTAAAATTGATTTATAAACTGCAAAATGCTACATAAACTCAAGTTATTCACCAGCTTATGTTGTCCTCAAGGGTACAATTCAGACCTTATCCAGCTTTTTATTCCTACCCTGCCAGAACATTAGCCTAGTACTTGGCCCATTCTAGCCACTTGCTGAATATGAAACGAATGAGACAGATTTCAGAACAAGTTTTTTTTTTCAGTCCTAGAATCCTCTTTATTTTTTTAGCACAAACCTATAGTTATTCAACCATGTTCTCTTTGATATCCTCAGATTTCAGAGAACCTCAGATTCCTTAGGTACAAGGTAGACAGTAATGCTTGCAATTGAACAGTTTTGAGGGGTTATCTCTTTGTTTAATGTAAGTTATGTTTCTACCAGAAATAAAAAAGAAGCAACTGTAGACTGCAAATTTAAATTATGTCAAGCTCATCTCTGTTTCTGAAACACATTAGAATAAAATAAAAGTACCAAAAAGGAATAAATCTCATCCAACTAGAGAGGATGAGATTTGCTCACATTTGCACAAGAGTTCAACAGTTTCTGGAAGGAGGTATGTTCCTGGGAGTGTGGAAACAAGGGATGCACTCTACAGGGTGAACAGTGACTGCATCCCTACCGAAAGGGTGGAGCAAGATTTGCCTGTCAGAAATCATGAAAAAGACTGCACTCAGGGGTAAAGATAAGAACTGTGTCCAAACAGAAGGAGATTAATTATAGGTTTATGTAGTAATCTCCACTGCAAATTAACACATCTGTACTTCTGCACCTCCTTCAATTCCAGCATCCAGGAAGAAGAGAGATACCTCTTACTGAGTGAACCTTCGGAGAAGAGCAAAGGCTTTTGTGAGAGGTTGTATCCCAGGCTTCATAGTGTGCCCTGACATCTTGTTTCGCAGATGAAATCTGACAGCCAACATGACCCATCACCCCACGCAGTGCTGAGGCCTCCCTGGAAGACTGAACTAGGAACACAGCAGCCCAGGAAACACACACAAATATCGCAGTCATCCTTCCTGTGACAGGAATGGGCAATCAGCCAGTATCAGGAGTATAAGAGGAATCAGAAAGCAAGAGGAGAGACTAAGGCAAGCAAACAAAAACTGAGGCTGGATGAAATTAAAATAATTCAAGTTATAGTTGATTCAAAGTAATTCAAGCGGCTTATCCACAAAATAAAAATGTGAGGCTGCTATAAAGGAAACTCTAGAATAGGCAGGTGTTTATAGAGATTAAAGGGATGACTGACAAAAAGTTTTAAAAACTAAAAAAAAAAAAAAAAAAAAAATTTAGAATGAAGACTAAAAAGACCTGGAAAATATTTCTAGGGGAGGGGTGGGGAGACATTGGGATGAATTGAAGGTATGATGAATAATTCCAAAAAGATAGAGCTAATAAAATGCAGGCAACTGTAAAAATAACAGAAGAATGTTTTCCAGATATGGCTAAGAATCATACTTAGAAGATTCTTCAGAATTAAATTTTCAGAATTGAGACATTCACTAAAGATTGACTCAAGATAATTTTTTTAAATAAAATCTGCATCTCCGTGAGATAGCACAATCAACAAGTGGGACGTCTTCTTATTAAAAGGCTTCTGTACAGCAAGAGAAATGACCAACAGTGTGAAGAGACATCCCACAATGTGGGAAAACATTTCCACCAGCGGTTCCTCAGACAAAGGGCCACTACCTAGAATATATAAACAACTTTTAAAAAATCAGACCTCCCAAATTTAATGACCCAACCCAAAAATGAAATGAACAGACATTTCTCAGACAAAGAAGTAGAAACAGCCAATAAACATATGAAAAAATATTCAACATCACCGGTCCTTTAAGAAATACAAATGAAAACAACACTGAGATTTCACCTCACCACAGAGAATAGCTGCTATGAAGAAATCAACCAATAACAAATGCTGGCAGGGGTGCGGGGAAAGAGGAACCCTGCTCCACTGCTGGTGGGAGTGTAGACTGGTGCAAACACTGTGGAAAGCAGTGTGGAGATTCCTCAAAGAACTAGGATTGGAAGTCCCATTTTATCCACCTATTCCCCTGCTGGGTATCTTCCCTAAAGAATTAAAAGAATCATACCACAGTGATATATGTGCACCCATATTTATAGCAGCACAATTTATAATAATTAAAACTTGAAAGCACCCCAATTACCCATCAACTGGAGACTGGATAAAGAAATTTTTTTTTCTAAAATGGAATACTACTCAGCCATAAAAATGATAAATTAGAGACATTTATAGCTAAATGGATGCACACTGAGGCAATACTCTTAAGTGATATAAATAGAACACGTGTTAATACTGAATAGTTTCTCTAGTGTGACAAACTGAAAGTGTAAAGAAGGACTAAAAGGTATGATAAATAATGTGAAATAGGAAGAAAAGGGACAAAGAGGAAGGGGAAACAGAAGGGGTAGTAGAAAGGAAAGAAGGGAATGGAATCAATATGAGAAAATGAAAAATAATGGAAACAAAGTCTTTGTAGATTGGGAGGGAGGGAGAGGTTGAAGGGAAAGCAGGGAGATGG